TAGCAGATAATACTGTCTTTGTCCACACTGGAATCGTCAACGCTTCCTTTCCCTGCACTTGAGATTTTCTCCCCTTCATTGCTCTCTCTTAACAGTAAGTTGCATAAAAGTGGTAAAAAGACCCCAAAGCAGCCAGTTTCTAAGAGTTCAAATGTTTGAAAGGGAAACTGCAGTATTTATCAAGCCGAGAAGTTGACTGTGTTCTGGTAATTTAGTTTTATGATTATGCACTTATGAATTCCCAGTTATAAATAATCACTGTTACTCAGGTCTCTTGAGAAGAACCACATTGGACAAATGGCCAAACTGATAAAAACCTCAACTCAAGCTGTCCTTAAAATGACTTAAACAGGAAAAAGAAAAATATCTGAGAAATTCTTTAAAATGACAAATGCTAAAAGATGTAAAAAATCAAACAAAAAAAACCTCCCTAACCAAAATAAACCAATTTTTGTAAAACCAATAGCTAAGACAATTAACTTTTCCTCACCAAAATGTATGTTGACCAAATTATCCTAGGAATGGACTTAATTTCAACCGAATTTGCTTTGTACCAAGTCCTATATGTCTAAATTGTTTCCCATCTGCATTCAAACAAATCCTATGCAACACACACTCAGCCAATCAATCAATATAAGGAACTCAGTGATCAAAATGAGAATTTTAACATTTCATTCAGAAATGGTATGAATCCAATTTATACCTTCCCTTATATATCATGCTTGGTTTTTCAGTCTTTCCATAACCGTATAATTTGATCCTCACAAAAAGCTGGGAGATAAATTGGTCTGAATTATTAGTTTTGTTTTATACCTGAGGAAATAGAGGCACAGCGACACAAAAGGACTTGCCCAAGGCCATAGAGCTGGTAAGTGGCAGAGCTTGGATGAGACCCTAAATCTTTTAGGCTCCTATGCTGGGACCAATTCCACCACAGCAGTATGTAGACCCTGCCTTGATCTTAGGGAAGGCACCTAGAACAGAGTTTGGGAATATTCCCCCTCAGTTTCACTAAGCAGGTGCTTACAGGTCTGCTGTGGAACCTGTGAGAAACAAGCTTGCTTTCAGGGTAGAGTTGATGTATCCCTCGGTCAAGGTGCATTTAGCCTCTACTATGTAAAGACATGGAGGATAAGACAGAAAGGATTTTTGACCAATGTTATCAAGTGTGTAATGAATGTTCTTAAGTATCCTCCTGATCTCCAGGTTGTCAATGTCGTCGTGGAAAGCTAGCCCACATTTGTTCATTCACTTATTTAACAAATATTATTTAATACCTATGCTGGTCAGGTATTAAATGGTTTCTAGGTGTTGGGGATATAACAGCAAAATAAAGTCCCTGCCTTCATAGAATGTTCATTCTAGTAAGACAGTAAACAATATAGCACAGTATGCAATTGAGGGATAAATTTGGTGGCTCTGTCTATAGTGATCTTTACCAATACTCAGGGAAAGGAGAGGTCAGTGCAGGTTTGAGTGGTATGAAAACGCACCCCTGTTACATAGAGCCACAACCAACCAGGGTCAGTTATTGATTGATTGGTTGATGAAGGCAGTGTCTCACTCTTGTTACCCAGGCTACAGTGCAGTGGCATCACCATAGCTCACTACAACCTCAAACTCCTGGGCTCAAGTGATCCTTTTATGTCTTCATTGCCTATGAATTTCAGGATCCTATGTTACATAAAATGTATATTAAATAAATTTGTATGATTTTCTGTTGTTAATCTGTCATTTGTTACAAGGGCCTCAACTGAGAACTTAAAAAGATAAAGAAGTTGTTTTCCTTCCCCTGCATAGACAAATGTCCTCACAGCTCAGGCCCTGTGGGAAAGATAGTGCATCTCTTTTTTCAGTAGTCACAACCAAACTCAACAATTTTATCTCATGAGCTCTGATTGAATAATAGCCTAACCCTAAAACAATCGCTGTGGTCAGTGGGAGGGAACATTCAGCTTGACTAGGAGTGCATCATATGCCCACACTTGGAGCTGAAGGTGGAATGTATGCTAGAGGTACCTGTTGGGGAGGGGTGGGTGGAAGAGGGAGTGTTAATAGATGCTGAGAAATAAACAACAACAGCTGTCTGCTACAACTGCTGTCACCAATGTATTCAAAATAACTACTAATAAATCATGGAGCATAAAATTTGCATGAATTTTGAAGGAAATACTTATGATTTCATAGAAATTTCTTGTTTTAGTGCATTCCTCTTGTAAAAAAAAAAAAAAAGAAAGAAAGAAAAATTTCTTGTTTTGGCATTCCCCAAGCTCCAAGGATATGTTTGCATTTTTCTCTGCTATAAGGAGTGTTTCAATATATTAATATTTACTCAATATTTATTCAGCATCTACCAAGTGCCAGGCATTAATCTAGGTGGCAGGAATACAGCAGTGAACCAAACAGATATAACCCCTGTCTTCATGGAGTTTGCTTTCTAGTGGGATGCTCACCCATCCCCACTCAAGCTTCTGCTCACAGTCTGAGATGATTGGATATGGGCATTCATCCCTCAGCAACTCTCCCCCAACTTCCTTTTTAACTGGGGGGCGGGGGGAGTTGTGCTTCTTAGCTTAGCTCTTATTCCGTCATTGCGGAGAGGGACTTTGAGCTTGAAGGGGTGTTTCGTGTCTTTTCCTCCTGGCTGTTTACCACACAAATCTCTAGTCTCCTCTCCTGTTCCTTGGTAGGGAGGAGTCCAAGCTGTGTGTTGATTTCCAGGTTCTTAGTCTCCAGCTGCCACTTTGAAGTTTGAGGTATAAGAGGGTGGCCCTTCCTTCATATGACTGCTGCTGACACAGTCTTTCTAGGTATCATTTGTTTGATTTGGTGAGAAGAATGATTATAAAATCTGAAAGTACTTGGCTATCTTTTCCCAAAAGCCTAAGGCTTATAGTTTGTTAATTTTTTTTTTTTTTTTAGCCCTACCATAACGTATGTCAGGGTGGATTTTTTGAGGTGTGTTGCCCCGGTTCTTTGGCTCGTGGCTTGAAGGAATTACAAGCTGGGCTGGTGTGAGGGAGTGATGAGAGACACTTAATACTTTTACACAGGCAGCTCTTAATTGCAAACTTATCAGCAGAGACTAAAAAGCGAAAGTACATTTCCTGAGGGGAAGTAGGTCTGTCTTTCCAAGTGGAGAAGATGCTGAGGTTTTAACACACTTCTACTTTTATGTCTAGACCTTATAAATGTTAAATGGTGGGTGGAGTATTCATTACTGTCCTGGGAAAGGGGTAGAGAGTTCTTTGAACTAAGGGCCTTCCCCATTTTTATCCTTATAGGGTTACTTCCAGGGGTTACTATGACAACAATAAACTGTCATGGCGCTGATGGGTGTGATTTTTTAGCTATGCTAATATATGTTAATGAGGAAAAGGACCCCTTTGGACATAAGCTCCTAGTTTCTGCACATGCTGCTGGCCTGTAAAAGTCCCTAACCTCAAGTTCTTGCTGTTGCTAAATGCTTATGCTAAATGGTCTCCTTATTTTTGCCCCCTCCTCTTTTCCTATGGTGAGCATTGCCAACTTGTACCTGTCCCTAACAATATAGAAGAACTAGGGTCTGACTTTGTGTGATATTGAGAGCTTCATGTATGTTGCCTCATCTAATTTTCTCAAGAGCTTCAAGAGGTGTATTCATTGTTCTCTTTTACAGGCATTGAATGGTTAAGCACTTCTCCAACTTACACAGCTAGCAAGTGGCAGAATTTCATTTTCTCATAAGATGAGGGAGTTAGATTAGATATTATTTCCTTTCCAGCTCAGCTCTGTGGTTATTTGAATCTATGATTGCATTTGAACTCCCCAAGATGGGTAGTATCTAAATAAAAATTCCTAGAGACTGAGCTCCTCAATATAACATTATTCCAAGCAGTTTATGTGGATTATCTTACTTAATTTTCACAACACCCAATGACATAGGTATTATTATCATTCCATTTTACAGATAAGGAAACTAGGGGACAGGAGGTTAACAGCTAAAACGTGACCAAACTGAGAATTCAACCCAGCTGTCTTACTCCAAAGCCTTTGTGCTTAACTAGAACACATACCTCCTCTGACGATATTAATGGGTGAATAGGTCAGGAGGATAAAGAGAGTTTCAAATAGGAAAACACGAAGTATTATGAAAATTTTAACTTCTGATGTTACTAATGGCTTCAATGGAAAATAGTGGGTTCATTTATCTTTCTACCCATAGCATCTAACACACTACCAGGCACACAACTAATAAATGTTTGATAAATGAAGAATGCATCACTAGCAACTTCCTTTGCTTTCTGCATTCTCCAAAATTGCAGTACTTTCCCTCACTGAAAGTATGAGCTGATAAACTTGCAGTAATAATTCCATTTTTAAAAATGAAGAGAACTGATAGAGTGTTCTTATAGCTAAAGATCAAAGGGGATTTTCCAACACCAGACAGTTCCCGAAAAAATGAAACATTTCCACTTTCTCTGGCGCCCTCTAGTGCTCTGTGTCCATAACTAATCAAGAGTGCTGATGCTCCCATGGTTGGACAAACTGAATCTGGATTTATTTCCTCCATTGCACGTGTGTCCCCCTTTATACACTACACTTGTTTTTCCTCTCTGCATGTCACTCTAATCAGTGCTTATGTCAGAAACTGTGAAGTATTCTGTAGCCTGGGTTTCTCTAGTCTTCACTAGGCTGTAACTGATCAGTTTGAATTTCTTCAGCTCCTATTCCTGGAGACTCACACAACCTATGAAATGCATTTGTGTGTGTTTTGGAAGTATATCCCCTTTCTGGCGTGTGTTATTTGGAATCATTGCATGCTTGCACACACACACTCTCTCTCCTCCTTTCTGAAGCCAAGGCTCTGATTCCTTGAGGAGTTAGAACTGCATGAAATTCTCTTCGAGAATAGAAAGGACACCTGTTCTTCCACTTTTCCTTTAGTTTAAGATCTCCAGATGAGGTCATCCTGGATTATCTCGACAGGCCCTAAATCTAATGACAAGTGTCCTTATAAGAGACAGAAAAAAGAAGACTCAGAGACACAGAGGAAAAGCCATGTGAAGACAGAGGCAGAGATTGGAGTTTTGTATCCACAAGCCAAGGAACACTGGAGCCATCGGAAGTTGGAAGAGGTAAGAAAGAATTCTGCCCTAGAGCCTCCGGAGGCAACACGGCCCCGCTGACACTCTCATTTCAGACTTCTGAGAGAGTGAACTCCTGTTGTTATAAACCATCCAGTGTGTGGCCATTTGCTACAGCATCCCTAGAATATTCACACACCATCTCATCACCTCTTTGATTTTCGGGGTTCAGAACATCTGTGGCTTTGCCACTAATCTAGCCCCAGTCCTGCTGAAAGCCTCTGCCCATCTGGTCTCTCCTTCATTGTCCCCTCCCTGGGACCCTCAGGTCTCTGCACGCTTTCCTTCATGTTGCTTCCTCTTTATTGGAAAGAAGGCATGCTCTCTCAACAGAAGGGGACTGTCTTTTTAGGTCGGGTGATACTGGGGAGGGAGATAAATGTCCAAGGACATGGTGGTTTGTGGGCAGGCACCCTTTGCCAGTGTGTTCCTTGCCACATTTTCTCCTTTTATTTATTTATTTTTTATTGACCTTCACCCTTCCCTTTGTTGCCTCCATTAAAGAGCATGTCTGAGACCCACTACTCGCACAAGTCACACCACATCCTTGGGCGTCCTCTGTGAATAAGTGTGTTTGACTAGTTGCTCTCATACCCTGATTCTAGGTCTCATGTATAAGGTATGGAGAAATCCATCTGTGCATTTTTCTTGAGCACCTACTATGCACCAAACACCGCCCCAGAGCTGGGGCTATGTAGCAATGAGAGAGATGTGATGACTGACCTCACAGAGTAGAGTCTTCCTGGTGTGATAAATGCTGTGCTTATATATTGGGACTTGCCCAAGGTCAAAGGTCAAACAGCTATTAAGCGACCAGCCAGGATTCACATCTACTTCTGCCTGACTTCAAAGCTCATGCTTTCCACCACGTCAGCAGTATCACTTAGGGTCCTGGCAGGAAGCAGAGAGCATGTTCAAGTGGGGTAACTGAGCAGATTGGTAAAAGATGATTTACAAGAGAGTGGGAAGGTTAAAGAAAACCCCACAAAGGATGTTGGTGTTGCAATGCCAGCAACAGCAGGCAGCTGTTACCAGTCCTGCACCTGAAGGGATGCGGTGAGGAGGGTTACTGGGACCTGAGAAGGGACTTAGAGGTGTAAGAGAGGCTCAGACAGGAGCTGTGCCCTTTGGTTGAGGTATAACAACCCTGGAGCGGAGATTCAGGGGAATAAAGACCCTAATCTCATACCCTCCCCAACACACCCCCACTTCAATTTCCTCCTGGTGACTCCTATTGGCCAGATCCAACCAGAAGCAAGAGATCAAGGTAGACTGGAAGAGGCAGGCTTAGAGGTCACCTGCAGGGATCACAGAAAAGAACACACAGGGTGGAAAGTAGATCTAGAGGGGCAGAATGCCCAGC